ACAACACATCTTTAAAAAAATGTTACTCTATAAAAGGACTAGTAATTACTGTGTGGCAGTAGGATGAAGTATATGGAGTAGTATTACAAAACTGTGTAATATTAATAGCAGAAAACAATATGTTTGTAGTGACATAGCTCTTGCAAAGCAAAACCATGCATGAATGAAAAATAGAATCTCACACTTGCAGATATCCATACTGACTTTTATCGTGGTTTGACATTCATTTCTGTTTTAAACTGCATCTATGCATTAGCTCTTCAGCTCAATTTTGTTGCAAGTATGGTGTATATACTATTTATGTTATGTAACTTATATATACATACATACATGCATGCATACAATACAGTATATCAAATATACTTTCTTCAGCATATATAGATGAAAAAATAATGATTGAAGTTTCCATACAGAGAAATTAATTAATTCAATCAGTGATTAAATTAAAAATCACCAATAGAAATAATAAAGTTTATCATTGCTCCATTTTCTTTCTACTCTTTTGAATGAAAGAGAACATTTCATGTCACCAAATGACATGCTAGCAACAGTGAAAAAGCAAGAAATGTCATTATCTGAAGTGATCATATTTGCTTTCTTGCTAACATATATCACCCGAAATTTCATTCGCATCTATGTGATGACAAAATGTTTTTAAACTGTCCAGATTGTACTTTTCCTTTTAGTATGCCATGTCATGTGTTTTACTGCATACCACTATACTTCGTGTACTTTTTCACTTATAAACAATTATAACAGTCAAACAATTTGTAATTTTCAAACTATTTCTTTGTATAAAAGCAGGTTCTGTCCACAAAGTAATCATGAAAATCAAGCTATTTTGTTTGGTATCGCTGCTAAAGAGATCGTGTAGTTCAATGTCTAAAAGATCAGGCCACTCCAGATCAAACTGCTTAAGCATTCCTTCATATCCAGTGTTAGCTTCATCATCCAAAGTAAAATAATAACTCAATTATTTATTTTTCTTTTATAACTGTTTTGGTTTTTTAAATATTAAGACAATTTCAACATGCTAAATGAGCAAGGTACAAACATAACAGAACCATCATGCACACAACTAGCCATAAGTGACAGAGGTTCCATCACTCCCATGATGCTTTGTACTTTGTTTGCTGCTTTAAATAGATGAATAGTATCTGGACCCTGTACATCATACTTTTCCTGTTAGCAATAAAGTTGTACCAGTCATCTAACTGAAAACTTTTTAAATTGAAATAAATGACTTCTAGTGGACTTCAAACTGGAAGTTTATATATAGTTAATTGAGGCCTCCTGCTCTTAAGCTTTCCTTATCTGGTCTTGACTTTCATCCATCTGTGAGATAAGCAGTGGGTCAGGGGTTAATCTCATACTGACCACTTAATATGCACAGGCTGGTGAAGCCCGATCTTGGAGTTGTTCGGATGGCAAAACGACAAAACAAGTAGGGAATGCGTCGGTAAGTCGACAGGTTTCCTCGGAGAGACAGGAGACAGGTTTAACAAATAACAAAATAAAGGTTTATTCTATAACTAAAGTTAATTTACAGGAGTATACATAAGGAAGTTACTGATTATTGCTTAGATGCGGATAACACATAAATCTGTCTATAATGGCGATCTACTATTCACTATGCCGCGTGAGAGTTTACAAAGGTTTCAGAGTGAGAGAGTTATATTATTGCGGTCAAGTATACCTTATATTGGATGACGGTATGCGATGATCATTCTGGACTATGGAAGCTGGCTGGCTGTCACAGACTTATGTCTTCTACCAGCTTCTCCTCAGACATGATCAGGATGGGAGACACGGTACTCAGACCTTCCAGATGATCGCACGGAGGGATGGTCACACTGAGAGGACGATCGCCCTGAACTTCCTGTGACAATCGTTTTTATATGATCGTCGTTGGCACTGAGCCAACTGGTCGTTCACTCATTATGATGACCAATTAGCATGCACACGTTGACTAATTAACAAACGGATGATGACTTGCTTTTCGTCCTTCCTATCTTGTCGATGTGTAAGATTCGACATCCGATCTATTTCCGTTATAACTTGCGATAATTTATTTTTTCATCTTCTAATGTAAAAATACGTTAAACTCAAAGATTTATGCCCTCAAAATGCTCGGGCTCACACATCTAACGCCATTCTCGAGATTAAGGGAGGGCAGACAGACAAATGACAGAGGGAATTTATAGGTTTAGAATTTTTTCAAATTGCAGCTAATAATAAGAGTTTAAAGTTATCAATTTCATCTAAATTTTTAAAAACAAACAAACATATTAAATAGCCATAACAAAAGATAAGTTTGTTACAAAATTTGTAATTAGTTTATTANAAAAATAATGATTGAAGTTTCCATACAGAGAAATTAATTAATTCAATCAGTGATTAAATTAAAAATCACCAATAGAAATAATAAAGTTTATCATTGCTCCATTTTCTTTCTACTCTTTTGAATGAAAGAGAACATTTCATGTCACCAAATGACAATGCTAGCAACAGTGAAAAAGCAAGAAATGTCATTATCTGAAGTGATCATATTTGCTTTCTTGCTAACATATATCACCCGAAATTTCATTCGCATCTATGTGATGACAAAATGTTTTTAAACTGTCCAGATTGTACTTTTCCTTTTAGTATGCCATGTCATGTGTTTTACTGCATACCACTATACTTCGTGTACTTTTTCACTTATAAACAATTATAACAGTCAAACAATTTGTAATTTTCAAACTATTTCTTTGTATAAAAGCAGGTTCTGTCCACAAAGTAATCATGAAAATCAAGCTATTTTGTTTGGTATCGCTGCTAAAGAGATCGTGTAGTTCAATGTCTAAAAGATCAGGCCACTCCAGATCAAACTGCTTAAGCATTCCTTCATATCCAGTGTTAGCTTCATCATCCAAAGTAAAATAATAACTCAATTATTTATTTTTCTTTTATAACTGTTTTGGTTTTTTAAATATTAAGACAATTTCAACATGCTAAATGAGCAAGGTACAAACATAACAGAACCATCATGCACACAACTAGCCATAAGTGACAGAGGTTCCATCACTCCCATGATGCTTTGTACTTTGTTTGCTGCTTTAAATAGATGAATAGTATCTGGACCCTGTACATCAAACTTTTCCTGTTAGCAATAAAGTTGTACCAGTCATCTAACTGAAAACTTTTTAAATTGAAATAAATGACTTCTAGTGGACTTCAAACTGGAAGTTTATATATAGTTAATTGAGGGCTCCTGCTCTTAAGCTTTCCTTATCTGGTCTTGACTTTCATCCATCTGTGAGATAAGCAGTGGGTCAGGGGTTAATTTCATACTGACAACTTAATCTGCACAGGCTGGTGAAGCCCGATCTTGGAGTTGTTCGGATGGCAAAACGACAAAACAAGTAGGAAATGCGTCGGTAAGTCGACAGGTTTCCTCGGAGAGACAGGAGACGGGTTTAACAAATAACAAAATAAAGGTTTATTCTATAACTAAAGTTAATTTACAGGAGTATACATAAGGAAGTTACTGATTATTGCTTAGATGCGGATAACACACAAATCCATAAATCTGTCTATAATGGCGATCTACTATTCACTATGCCACGTGAGAGAGTTTACAAAGGTTTCAGAGTGAGAGAGTTATATTATTGCGGTCAAGTATACCTTATGTTGGATGACGGTATGCGATGATCATTCTGGACTATGGAAGCTGACTGGCTGTCACAGACTTATGTTTTCTACCAGCTTCTCCTCGGACATGATCAGGATGGGAGACACTGTACTCAGACCTTCCAGATGATCGCACGGAGAGATGGTCACACTGAGAGGACGATCACCCTGAACTTCCTGTGATGATCGTTTTTATATGATCGTCGTTGGCACTGAGCCAACTGATTGTTCACTTGTTATGATGACCAATTAGCATGCACACGTTGACTAATTAACAAACGGACAATGACTTGCTTTTCGTCCTTCCTACCTTGTCGATGTGTAAGATTCGACATCTATTTCCATTATAACTTGCGATAATTTATTTTTTCATCCTCTAATGTAAAAATACATTAAACTCAAAGATTTATGCCCTCAAAATGCTCTAGCTCACACATCTAATGCCATTCTCGAGATTAAGGGAGGGCAGACAAACAGACAAATGACAGAGGGAATTTATAGGTCTAGAATTTTTTCAAATTGCAGCTAATAATAAGAGTTTAAAGTTATCAATTTCATCTAAATTTTTAAAAACAAACAAACATATTAAATAGCAATAACAAAAGATAAGTTTGTTACAAAATTTGTAATAAACTAATTACAAATTTTGTAAATCATAAAATCTAATGTTAAATAATTTTAAAATGTTTATAATTTTTCTTCAGCAATCTGGAGATTTAATTCCATTAAATTCATATAGATAATTGTTTGAATAATTGATCAGATGAATGATTAATTTGAATGATAAATACTTTTCATTATTAAAATTTGAATGGACTAAAAATGGAATGATGAATATAAATTGTCTAACAGTTAATATGCTATAATGTTTAATGAATACTTTTGCTAAATACTAAAAAATATAATATTCATTCCAGATACTCAAACAAATTTACTTATTTAGATATAGAGTGCATCAGAAGTAAATCACTTCATAAAGTGGATCAAGGATATATGAACAAATTAATCAAACATAAGTAGAATGATTTTTCTGAGATGTTTATAAACTAGAAATTAATTTTTGAAATTTAGTTTATTTGATTATACATATAATATATACAATAACACATGGGTTCACTTGCTTGCCATTAGTCAAATTGCTTTGTATCTAGTTATTTATCAGACTATATTAAGACTATTAATCTAGCAGATTATTTGGTAAAAAAGAATATAATTTAAATATTTCAAGCATTATTCAATTTATCTTAACATAAATCTCATAAAAAGTTATTTAAAAACAATTAAAATTTAATCATAAATTAAAACATTTGTACAATTTTATTTTGTGTTTGCCCTCTTAGTGCCTACAGGATGGAAAGAGCAAAAAAATTAATTATTTTGTGATAAGTGAATCTAACTATATTTAAACGCCAGATTTTAAATTCTGTTGCAAATAAATAAATTGACAATACCTTTGAATCTGACATGTCTGTCCACTTTTGTAATTCACTATAAATTTTATTTATTTCTTCTAAACTATTTGATGTTGATGAGACAGGTGTTTTCTTATCAGTTTCCTCAGATTCTTTTTCTGTCACATTATTGCCATCACTATCTTTTGTTTCTTGTTTTGATAATTCATTTTCAACATCACTCTTTTCTTCTGAAGTAACTTCTGTTGGTTCTGGTTTTTCTTTAATAGAATCAGTATTTTGTGAAAATTTATAGATATCACATAATGCTATTCCTTTTTTTACTAAAGCTTCAATAACAGCAGATTTCTGTTTTTCTTGGCTAAAAAACAAAATGCATTCAGTGAGCAAGTAATTGACAAAAAGAAAAAAATAGTAATATAAAAATATTCATAAAAAAATCTAAAATTCATTACTGTATGATTTACTTATAATAGATATTTTAATAATTATGAAGTGTAGAAAAAACTATTATAAGAAGGAAATAATGGATAAGACAATCATTCTTTTGTCATAGCACTGTCTCAGTAATCTAGTGTTAGTTCAAAAGGGCATATGGCCATGTTCTAATACTTTTTTGAAGCTCAGTTGTGAGTTTATTATTGACAATATCAAGAGGAGCAGAACATCAAGAGGATATTGTCAATAATAAACTCACAGCTGAGCTTTCAAAAAGAGTATTAGAACATGGCCATGTGCCCTTTGGACTAACACTAGATTACTGAGATAGTGCTATGACAAAAAAACAGTATTCTTATAGGAAAATCTTTATAATTGCATCACTTTCACCCTGTAATACTTCTACCATCAATATTCTGTATTTATGGATAGAATAATTTAAGCATTTCACTTTGTAGACACACTAAAGATCTTCACTTGGGAGTTTTATTTTTGTTGATAATTTTGCATGCATTGCATTTTTATTAAACTGTTCTAATTTTTATTGAATATTTAATATTCCGATCTTGTGCCTTAACTGAATTTTAAAAAGATAGGAATAGAACATAAACGCAACTTATGTTTTAAAGTTTGCATTTGATTTTTGGCTGCTGATGAATGCAGTATGTCTTTGAAAGTACTTGCAATTTTTAATAAATCATGTTTTTAATGTCAGTTAAGTGTGATTTCTCTCCCAAATGTCATTCTCGGTGTAAAGTGAATTTTGTTTTTGTCTATTATCAGCAAAGACAATCATATTTTCATTTAAACATTACATTAAATTTTTACATTGTATTAAAAAGAATTAAAAATATGGGTTAAGTTTCAAAAATCATTAATGGATTATTGAAACTTAAATTTCAAACAATTTAGAATAAAGTAATTTAGAAATATATGATAATAGATGATTAATAAAAGGATTTCTTATGTCAATTTCCTCTAGTCAACTATTCCAAGAACCTACATGTCTGTCAAAATTATTTAATGATTTATATCCAAATAGATTCACAAATTCTTTAAATGTTTACTTTCTTCCAGTTTCACTATTAAATTTTACCTCATTTCTTTTCTTAGTCTTACTTCCAAAATAACTGCTTTTTCCTTTTACAGTAGAACCTCGATTATCCGCCCCCCGATCAACCGACCCCTCAGTTAACCGACCGTCCTAGTCAGCAAATTTCAAATGTCCGCTAGTGATGTGGCGCTACAATATTTGGCTATGTCTTGGCTACTTTAATATTATTTTTATGTGTTTTAGCTGGCAACACTCATTCGACCATGAAAGGGAGCCAGTATTTAAACGAAGCTTAATTTTCTAATTTTTAACGATACAATAGCGACGATTATTATTTTAAAAAATTTTTGTTAGGCTTAGCACCGATGAAAATTCAACGCAAAATAGGTTAATAGCAATATACTAATATACTAATTACATGGGATATAATATACTACACTAATAATGGATTTTTTCATACTTTTCGGTTATCCGACTTTTCAATTATCCGACCAACCCCAGTCTCCAATTAGGGCGGATAATCGAGGTTCTACTGTACTAATTAATTTTTAATGTTCTTTTATTATCATTATTAATTTCATTAGAAATGATTGACAACAAAAATGTTGATATCCCAATTTTATTTTGACAACTAATTAGATTATCACATTGTATAAATTGTACAAGATATATACAAATTAAAAATTAAGCTAATTATATGTTACCAGCCAAACCCAATTTCAGGCCAAATGGGTTTATCCTACGCATGTCAGGATATACTAGTTTAGCCCAGGACAATCTAGTTTGGCCTAAATACTTTAGGCTTAGCTAGTTTTACCTAGGCCGAACTGATTTTGATGATTATTGTTTTTATATCTGGAAGAGGTTTTCAAGTTTTATGAATTTTTTCAGATAGGGTTTTTGTATAATATTTACTTATAATGAAGGCCTGATAAAGATCTTTGAAGAAAAAAAGTGGCAATGTAAAAAAAGTGATTTTGTGTAATTCAAATTGCNAAATAAACAAGGATAACTTTTTCTTGAAAGGAAATTGACAAAACAGAGAACAAATAAAATTTCAATGAAATGATTTTGCAAGAGTTAATACAATTGAAATAGCAAGCATGAAAAAATAAGCCATACTTTTAGCACTTTCTTACAGTATAACCATTTTATCAGGTTCTTACAATTGAATATGATTGCACAGAAATCAAATATTGTTGCTTGAAGTTACAAAATTTAGAAATTAATATATAATATAAGAAATAAAATTATAAAATGTCAGAAAATTTTAAATTATTAATTTTTATGCTTGAAAATAAATAGTTCACGTTACCAGAGAGAAGAGAATATGAACTATTAATTTCATTTTTCAAGTTTAAAAAGTAATAGAATCATAAATAAAGAAAAACAATAAATACAAAGGAGAAATAATAACAATTATATTAAATATTGAAGTATTAGCAGAGGTCAGAAAATTATCAAAAGTAGAAAAATAATAGAGCTGGAACAAATAAACATCAGATAATTTTAGCATGGAAAAAAATTTTTTTTGAAAGTATTATTGTAATTTTCTAAATGTTTCCTTAACAGAGTTATAAAACTCTTATATTATCTTTACAAAATTTAAACAAATAAAAATTTCAGTCTTTTGAATATTTTAAGTTCTAAATCCTTTTTTTTTTTTTTGTTTTTACAAAAGAAAAACAAAAGAAGGGGACCCTTCAATTGTTCAAAACAATAAAATTAAAATCTATTACCTTATCTGCATCCAATGCTTGAAGACGAGCCTGAAGAACAGGAATATGCTTCATATCCACATCTATTATTTCTTTAAACAGTTCATATGATACTTTATTAGGTAATCTAATGAAAATAAATTTTTTTCAATTAAACAACTAATCAAGTTAATAAATATTAAGTTAATGACATTAAATTAATTACTATTACTGTTAATTGCTAGGTTGAAGTACTGTATTAAGTTAATAGGCACACATTGTTCATAGTTTTTAAAATCTTTAAAAATTTTTGTTATAAGGCTGTTTTTGTTATAAGATTGAACATTTAAAGATTTATGACATAAGTTCATAATGATTTCAGACAAAATGAAGATTCAGACTTGAATCATAAATCTTTATGATTCAAGTCTGAATTTTGCTTTTTATGATCAGAAATGATCCAAGTGAGACTGTCCAGCATAGATGGAAAGTATCAACCTAAATTATATAAATAGGAAATTTCACCAGTCTAAATAAGATTAAAACTGGGTCTTTCTTGGTAGTAAAAAGAATATTTTACATTATAGATATTGGGCCATAAAAAGAAAAAAAAATTAAAAACAATATATTATTGTTAAAAGTATTTCATTTTAACATTAAACTCTTTCATTAAGAACAGATTATTATAAACAACTTCATAAATATAAATTTTAGAAAATAGCATACTTTGCCACCCATGACACTTTTAAATCTCTTATTGCTTCTTTGTATTCTTCTTCTAAAGATTTTTCTTTTTCAGGTGTTGATTTTGATGCTTTTTTGGGAGCTTCTGGTATTATATATTTAAAAGGATATGAATCCTACATACAAAATAATGATTAATTGTAACAATATTTAAATTAAATGAATTAAAGTTCTTAAAATCACTTTGATGTTATGAAACTGCTATTCATATCACACACATCTTTTTTTATTTTATCAATCTTTTCAAAAAAATCTAGCATCTGAATACATCTTCATATGTAAATGCTGTGAGTTTCTCATGCAAGTGCATAGAAAGCTGAAGGAACATATTACAGCATAAATTAATTAAATAAATGCATGTTTAAATATTGACTTAAATATTGACTTAAATAACAGTTATAAAATATTAACTTAAAAATTTTTAATTTATTAAAACAAATTAAAATATTCTTACACTATCGAACATTACTTACAGCTTTTTTTCCAAGTTCATCTTTAGAAAAAGATACTGTTCCTAATAAATATTGACCAGCACTGTAACCCTTTGGAAGCCTGAATCAAAATAAATGAAAAATAATGGTAAAGTTTTTGTTAAATAATATATGTTATGTTTTTATATACATAATATTCAATTGTATTAATTCTAAAAAGTATGTACACAGCCTCTAATATTCTAAAATATATAAATAATTTAAATGAAATAAAAGCAGATTATCTGTATAAAAATAAAATTAAATCATTTGCATTATCATTAATTAGATTATTTCTTTGCAAATTTCAATCTACTAAATCTGCTATTTCTATTGAAATTAATATATCTGTAGTTATTAAAACATCTTTTATAATCATAAAAATCTTTAAACTATTTACTTTTTTATAATGATAAAAATGTTCTCCAATATTCCTCTTGTAAAAAAACAAATTATATCATCTCATTTTGAGGAAACAGTGTCTGAAAATCCCATTTACAGTTTGTGATACTGTAAATGGGATTTTCAGACACTTATTTGCATACTCAAAATGCCAGAGCAATACTATGAAATGGCCGTAAAATACCGACAGCTATAATTTTAAAGAAAATAAACACACTCAAATAACCTCAAAGAAACAGCAATAAATTTAATAACTAAACTGTTTTCGGACATTTTAGTTATTAAACTTTTTGCTGTTTCTTTGAGTGTGTTTATTATCTTTGTGCAACAGCTCTGATTTAATTTTTAAAAATATTTGATTAAACTTTGTGTTTGCATGTATTTTTTAAAAATCAAATGTACTACTCTTTCATATGGAGTTGACCTCCTTAAAATTGATATTATCATCAGTAATTAAATCTGTTTTTCTGTTTTACTTGAAAACTGAATAAACTTAATTTTAAAAAGTTATAATTAATATCAATTAATAAAATCACAATATCATACTATTTTTAATATATATTTTCAATAATATCTAATTTTATGACTATGTTTTAGGATCTAAATTGTTAACGTAACAATCTCATTAATAAATAAATCTCTGTTTGGGTGTTCAAGTTTGTACGTTTTACAGAAACATTTTTTACAGTTATAACTGTAATTCTACACATTTTATAAAAAATTAAATGTAATATGAAAAATAATTAAATTTATAAAAACATTTTTTAACAATGATTTGAATTTACTTAATTAAATCTTACTTTTCAGTATTTAAAGGAGGAAAGAAGACAGGACATGAAACACCAGGAGGAAGTGTTTTGTTTGCAAATTTTTTCCCACCAATTATTGCTTGTGAATAAGTTGCATATACTTCTAAAGAAAGAGAAGAAGGAAGTTTCTGTTGGAGTAGAAAAGGCATATCTGTCAATTTCTCCAAAAGAGAACGTTGCTCATGTCGAACTTGAAATCGCATCACATAATCACTTTTATCCAATTTCACAGAATACTACAAAAGAAAAAGCATGAAATATAATGCAAATTTATTGATTTTTCTAATGATCTATTAATAAATGTTCTATTAAACATTTTCAATTAAAAATCTAAGCATTCTTAAGCATATATTTACTAATATTTTTTATAAAAAATATTGTTCTATTATTGATATAAATAGTCTAACTTTAAATATAAACATTATTATACTACAGACAGTTAACATTATCTATTATACTATAGAAATAAAGCATACAGCAACAAGATTAATGTTAGAACAAGAACAAATTTCAGAAATATCACAAATAGTTAATTAATATAAAATAAATTTTTTTAATCATCAGTTAATTTATTATAATTACAGTAATAAAACATAAAAATTATTGGTGTAAAGTAGAAGCCCATTTTTTAGGGATTTATGAAAGTAATATATTAATATATATTTTTTGTAGATAAGAAAAAAAATATTTAAATTAATTTTTAAAAATATAATATTTAGGTAACATTAGTAAAATTGAACCCACAAAGACATCTTTGTGGGTTCAACCCATCAAAGACAAATTTCTTATTTTTTGCTAATTAATAATTAGCAAAAAATAAGGAATTTTAATGAAAACAAACATTTTATTTTTGTATTTGACCTGAAGTATTTGTTTAATATGGAAGAAAAATGTTTGTTTTCATTAAAATTTCTCATTTTTTTGCTGGTTATTGATGTATTTGTGGGTTTATTTACACATAAAGCTAGTATAATAGTATCAATTTAAAAAATAAAATTTATATAATATTAATTAATTACCTTGTTGGGATAAGCATCACCAATACCTAGAAGTTGCTTATTACAATCAAATATCATCCACATTTGAGATTCGTATTCTGATTCATATAATAAATCTGATAACAATGGACACACTGGAGTCACTTCTGTACTCTTACTCTAAAAACAATGTTATAAAATTTGTGCTTAAAAAAAAAGTTATAAAATTCCAATTTGTCAAAATAAATATATTTAATATTACATCTCATAATATGAAGTAATAATAATATCAAAGAACTAAATTTATCCAATAAATAAAATATGTTAATAGTGACACAATGATAAAAGTAGTTCTTATATTTTAGCAATATCAAAAGCATACTGTAAATGCTAAGATGGCAATACTACTTGGATAATTTTTTTTTCAGAAATCTGTCTTTAATAAAAAATTAAGTGTGACTTATAATACTGTTCTATAATATGAATATCAATTTCTAAAAACATAGTCAATTTTCAGTTTAATTTCTGTTTCAGCTAAGATCCCACTATCTGAAAATGAAATCACATAATTTATTATGTGATTTCATTTTCCCACCATCACAAATTGACAGTGTTGAATGAAATCACATAATAAATTATGTGATTTCATTCAACACTGTCAATTTCCAAAACTAATTATTGTAAAATGGACTAAGCTTTAGTCTCTTTGATGTGGCTGTCAATTACAAATAACCTCTTAATTCAACATTTTATTTTACTATTCCAGCTCTGTTATATATAACAGAGGGAAAGTATGGTGTTGGGTCAAAAATGATCCTCCCCAAGATTTTTACATTTTTGGACTTAGTTGTTTTAATAAAATATCATAACAGATGGTATCACACAGCTTTGAATGTTGTTGCCAGCAAAATTTAGCAACTTTTTGCTGGATTTTTTTCTTATGCACTTTTTATAAATGTTGAGGTCAATGAGGTAGGTGACTTCCAGCTTGTTGAGGTCACTTAAACACTTTTTAGATGTAATGTAAATTTCTAGGGCTTCAGTTGATCTTGTCACACCCACGATGGCGGTTTGATCAAAAAATCTGATCAAAAGTTTAATTTATCAGGACACCTGACACCAGTTAGGATAACTATGCATCCTAACTCGCATTTTAAAACGTTCTGGAGTTTAGGAGGGACATTTCAACCGTGGGCAAGACAATAGAGTTAGGCAAAAGAAAAGTTAAATGAATTTCTTCTAAATTAAGTAAAGTTGGATTTATTAACAATATAATAACATATCTTTATGATTATACAAATAAAAATTCTACAATAAATCTCAACACATTAAATGAATAAAAGTATAAAAATTATATCTTGTGGGATACATATTTTCTAACTCCTTAGTATCAAAATAACGCCTATTCCTATTATCTAAATTATTATTTGAAACAACAAGGCTACCATTTTAATTATTGAATCCCTTTTTATATCAGACAGAGTTTACATTATTTAATATTACCTCTAAATCTTTTTCTAATTCTTCCCTTTTTCTTCTGGGGAGAAATTCTTTTGATTCTGTATCAATTTTAGGTGGGGAATTTTCAGCAGGATAGTGGGAAATGCTATGGGATGAATGTCTCAACTGGGTTTCTGTGTGCTATTCTATCATTGTTGGTCCTATTTATTTTATTTCAATTGTCCAATCATTTGGGACAATTTGGGTCATCTCAGGAGAGAAGCAACAAGGATCTTCCTTATTAATAAAGTTTCAAGGATTAATTTGTTGCTTAAAAGCATTCAATATTATGACCATACAAATAATTTGGGTCTATACAAGAATTATCCTTTTTAATAATCCAACTAGAGACAGATGGTAACAACTTAAAATCAACAAATGACATTAAAAAATACATACAATACAATTGACGCTGACTTTTTAATAATGTAGATTTATGAAAATTAAGAAGCTGTTCCAGAATTCCACTAGAGGTCAGCAGATGGATATATATATATATATATGTGATTTTTACCTAACTGATATTGTGAAGAATTTTAATACTGTGTTCTTGGCATTGGATCCTCTAAGAAAAGTTGTTACCATCTGTCTCTAGTTGGATTATTAAAAAGGATAATTCTGTATAGACCGAAATTATTTGTATGGTCATAATATTGATTGATTTTAATCAAAGATCTTCCTTGTTGAATTGTTATCAAAATTAACATCTCTCCTTGTAANAGTTCCGTTGTGATTCTAGTCATTTTTTTTTATTTTTCTGTTGCCCTTTTGCAATTCATGATTAATAAAAATAATAAGATGTTACTTACAAATTAAAATCAGAAGAAATTTAACAAAGTTATAAACCGTAGCACCGCGAACGTCTAGTCTAGTGTAGTACAACGATAGTGCTACTTGTTCATAGATGGCACGTATAATTAAGTCGTATACCGAACAAAAGTCGTATACCGAGCAAAATTTGTTTCGTCCAAACAGGACATATTCCGAATTGAATGTATTCTAAAGCAGACGTATACCGAGGTTCCACTGTATTTTTTATTATACATATAACTCTATTTTTATTTATCATCATCTCATCAGTATTTCTTATGTTGGATTACCATTATTTTAAGGACTTTATAAAAAATAATAATANTAATGCTGTATATTTTACTCAAACTATATATAAGAATTCAGAATTTCATTAAAAATATGAAGCAAATTAAATATGTAAAAATTTTATGAAAGTATACAGGGTGTTTACTTTGAGATGCCATTATCTTAATTCTTAATAAGTTATTCTTTTTTCTTATAAGCAACTACATAATATTAAGACACAAACTTGAAAGTTTATTTCATTATAGTTTCAACTTGGCTGCCATATTTACTTTAGACATACTGTTTTCAATATTGAAAATTCAAATTTTGTCAAAAACATGACTGAATTTTCTTAGACTTTTTTGACACAACTACTAATTGATACTTTAAGTTCTTCTAGGGTATACAGGCCAATTCTTTTAAGTGTTTCTACAATGAAAATCACAAGGATTTATTCTGTTATTTTCTAACAAATCACAGACTTCCTTGAAAAACTTTCATTTCAGCTTTGCTTGTTTTTTTCAAAGGCTGAAAAATATGCATTTTGTAAAGAAATATATGCAAATCTTTATGCAGAATAAGCAAAAGTATTCTTAAAGAGGTTTCATGTTATACAGAGTCTTTGAAGGAATTTCTTTGTTAGGCAGTTTATAATGCTTTCTTGAATTTCTTCCATTTTTGCTACTATGTGGATTACTTGGCTTTTCCAGAGTTTAAGACTTACCATAGGCAATATCTGTTTCTTTATACTGCTTCTATAGACCCAAAATTACTTTTCTTTCTGGTGCCAATGAAGTTTCACACTCATTTCTGAATTTCACAGCATTCTTAAAATTGATCTTAGCTCAATATATCACATATATATTTTCTAATAATTTTTAATTTTAGAAATAGCCATTTTTAACATTTAACTATTAGCAAACAACAACAATGAAAGTATCACCCCAAGTTTGTTTGTTAATATTATAGTGTCATTTATAATAAAAAGAATATGTAGTTTAAGTTATTAATAATTAGGCTTGTAGTATTTCAAAGCAAACACTTGATATTTTATAAATAATAAAATTTATACATCATTATATAAATTAATATTCAAAACAAAGCTATTGATATCAGAACAGTTTCTCAGATATCACATTTTTAAATTTAAAACAACAAGTCATGTAATTTTATTAAATAATCATAACAAAGTTAAGTAATTGTACAGCTAATGATGATTTATAGTTATAAATTATAATAATCAAACAGCAAAACTCTTAGATAAAATTTAAAAATAAAATAAAAATGGCAAGTTTGCAAATTTTCAATTGACTGCTTACTCAACTCATAGAAAATAAAATCCTATTTTAATTGGTTTGTTTTTTTCAATGGTTTAAAGACAGAAATGTGTAAAAATGTTTTATATATTCATAATATAATATATATTATTTAAAAAGTTTTCATAAAAAAATGTTTAATTTTATCTTTCAAATATAAGTTGAATAAAGTTTATGAATTTAGCCTAAAAAGTGTAGATTTTGCATCTTTCAATATTATAATATTACATATGTCTTATATTGCAGTAAATACATTAGCAATTTTTATTGAAAATATGAAATAAAAATTTAATCTAGTACAAGTTACACTTATAAAAACCCAATAAAACAGCATGTAAAATAACTTACCGAAGAACAGTAACATAGGATTTCAGGGTCACAGCAGGCATTATTTCTTCATATCTCAAAAATGAAGCTACATCTATTCGATGAATACTTTCAGCTCCTTGCTATAAAAAAATGAACAATATCTGTCTAAAATAATTTTAAATTATTAATTTAATTAAATGTACAATTTAAACAAAAAGTACAGTACACATGTTCTTTATTAGTATATGCTGGTAATTTTCACAAAAACAACTGAAAATTAAAAACAAGTAAAATGGTGAAGCCATTCTTGGGATGAGACTATGTNAAAGTTTACTTTATAAAAATGTATTTAAAAAAGTATTTTACAAGTATTCAGTTAGTCTGCTAATAAACAAAAAACAAGCGGTAATAATTTTATTTTTTAAATTTAAATTCAAAGCAAATTTTCATTAAATTTATTAAAATTTCTTTTTCATAATTTGATATTTTAAAAAATTTTATTCTTTATGTTTTACAATATTTAAATAAAGAGAATAAGAAAAATTTCTTCACAAAATATTTATTTAAATTTCAAAATATTCTGAATTAATTATGTATTCTTTTTAGATAAATAAGAGTGTCATTAATTTATTCTAGTGTAATAAAAACCAATATATAATTTTAAAATATTCAAGTAAATGAAAAACAAACATGTATGAATATTAAATCACTTACAATGTTAAAATTGTAAGTTAAAACCAGTTCATATATTTGACGTCCTTCAGGTATAATATCTCTGCATCCAAGAGGTTGAATTTTATTCTCAGAAGGTCTATAAAATATTTATTTATCTTTAACTTCTTTTATATTTAAAATAAGAAATATTAATAACATTTTAATATAATTGCATAAGTAAATATTATTACTGAAAATGATTTGTAAATTAAATTTATAATTAAACTTACTTAAACTGAGAGTAAAAGAAAAAGTTTTGTGGGAACTGTTTTAAATTTATAAGGGCAGACAAAACAATTAGATATAGTATAGAAACAACATTATAATGCTGTATATTTTACTCAAACTATATATAAGAATTCAGAATTTCATTAAAAATATGAAGCAAATTAAATATGTAAAAATTTTATGAAAGTATACAGGGTGTTTACTTTGAGATGCCATTATCTTAATTCTTAATAAGTTATTCTTTTTTCTTATAAGCAAATACATAATATTAAGACACAAACTTGAAAGCTTATTTCATTGTAGTTTCAACTTGACTGCTATACTTACTTTTAGACATACTGTATTCAATATTGAAAATTCATATTTTGTCAAAAATATGACTGAATTTCCTTAGACTTTTTTGACACAACTACTAATTGATACTTCAAGTTCTTCTAGGGTATACAGGCCAATTCTTTTAAGTGTTTCTACAATGAAAATCACAAGGATTTATTCTGTTATTTTCTAACAAATCACAGACTTCCTTGAAAAACTTTCATTTCAGCTTTGCTTGTTTTTTCAAAGGCTGAAAAATATGCATTTTGTAAAGAAATATATGCAAATCTTTATGCAGAATAAGCAAAAGTATTCTTAAAGAGGTTTCATGTTATACAGAGTCTTTGAAGGAATTTCTTTGTTAGGCAGTTTATAATGCTTTCTTGAATTTCTTCCATTTTTGCTACTATGTGGATTACTTGGCTTTTCCAGAGTTTAAGACTTACCATAGGCAATATCTGTTTCTTTATACTGCTTCTATAGACCCAAAATTACTTTTCTTTCTGGTGCCAATGAAGTTTCACACTCATTTCTGAATTTCACAGCATTCTTAAAATTGATCTTAGCTCAATATATCACATATATATTTTCTAATAATTTTTAATTTTAGAAATAGCCATTTTTAACATTTAACTATTAGCAAACAACAACAATGAAAGTATCACCCCAAGTTTGTTTGTTAATATTATAGTGTCATTTATAATAAAAAGAATATGTAGTTTAAGTTATTAATAATTAGGCTTGTAGTATTTCAAAGCAAACACTTGATATTTTATAAATAATAAAATTTATACATCATTATATAAATTAATATTCAAAACAAAGCTATTGATATCAGAACAGTTTCTCAGATATCACATTTTTAAATTTAAAACAACAAGTCATGTAATTTTATTAAATAATCATAACAAAGTTAAGTAATTGTACAGCTAATGATGATTTATAGTTATAAATTATAATAATCAAACAGCAAAACTCTTAGATAAAATTTAAAAATAAAATAAAAATGGCAAGTTTGCAAATTTTCAATTGACTGCTTACTCAACTCATAGAAAATAAAATCCTATTTTAATTGGTTTGTTTTTTTCAATGGTTTAAAGACAGAAATGTGTAAAAATGTTTTATATATTCATAATATAATATATATTATTTAAAAAGTTTTCATAAAAAAATGTTTAATTTTATCTTTCAAATATAAGTTGAATAAAGTTTATGAATTTAGCCTAAAAAGTGTAGATTTTGCATCTTTCAATATTATAATATTACATATGTCTTATATTGCAGTAAATACATTAGCAATTTTTATTGAAAATATGAAATAAAAATTTAATCTAGTACAACTTACACTTATAAAAACCCAATAAAACAGCATGTAAAATAACTTACCGAAGAACAGTAACATAGGATTTCAGGGTCACAGCAGGCATTATTTCTTCATATCTCAAAAATGAAGCAACATCTATTCGATGAATACTTTCAGCTCCTTGCTATAAAAAAATGAACAATATCTGTCTAAAATAATTTTAAATTATTAATTTAATTAAATGTACAATTTAAACAAAAAGTACAGTACACATGTTCTTTATTAGTATATGCTGGTAATTTTCACAAAAACAACTGAAAATTAAAAACAAGTAAAATGGTGAAGCCATTCTTGGGATGAGACTATGTGTCAGAGAGTATGAGTAATGCATGTGCAAATCTCACACCTATTTGTAGAAACAGTCTTAGCATTTTGTATTTTATTTTGACCAGGTTCTCAATCCCTTGATTACCTACAAGTCTGGTTTATTTTATGTGCACATGATTTGGGCACTAAATAATCTGTGCCAAATTGCAACTCTTGACATGTACTCCTTCATACCTCTAAGGTGTGCAGCTGTTGACAGCAGTGAGATTTTAGAGATGAGACATTGTCTCATCATTTATATTACTAAACCAACAATATTTGCCATATTTTATGTGTATGTTGTTAAATACAGTGATACCTTTTACTTCAAATGCTTTAGAATTCAAGCTGTGCATGCAGTGAAAAAATACAATTGAAGTGTAAACGCAATCTGCATGCACCCAAGTTGTCTCTCACTTTTTTCTTTGTCAACAGCTTTTGGTACTCTGTACATTTTATATCCTTTAGTTCAAAATTTCCTGAATGAACTTTTTAAACCACTTTTGACACATTAAAGTTTAAGAACATTTTCTCCATAAACATTACAAATTTTTTTAATTGTTTGTATGGCATTACATTCTTTCCAAAACTCAAAGCATAATATGCCCAGTATGCTTTTTACCTGAAGACATTTCAGCTTGATTTTATTCAAATAAAATTTAAAGTAAAAAGTTTAAGCTAAGGCTTCTAAACAAAAAATACAATCTCACATTAGCAATAATGTGTTAAATTTCACAACTGTTATAATACAGTCACCCATCTATATTAAGGAATGGCAGTTGTTAAAACACAAAAACTTTCTGTTCAACCCAATATAACCTTTACTTATTAACCAAGGCATCAGAGAAGCATGTGGAAGCAATAAAGTCTAAGAGGAAGGTTGTAATATCAATGAGTGAAATGGAAAAGGAACTTATCATGAAGCATGAAAGCAGTACAATATATGTATGGTGGATCTGTCAGCCAAAGTCAGCGGTGTATGACCAGTAAATGCATTTTCATTTCATTATGTGGTATTTATGTATTTTATTTATTGTTTTCATTGTTTAAATTATTAATAGGGCATTTAGCTGTGTTATTTTTATTTTAAATTTTATGTATTTGTGGTTTTAAGTTTATCAAAATGGGTATTGTTTAGGGTCATGAAATGGATTAATTGACTTTCTATTATTTATAATGGGAAAAATTGATTGAGACTTTAAATAATTCAGAGTTCAAATGACTTGGAATGAGTTAAATTTGAAGTATGAGGTGCCACTGTAGTCTGATTATAATATAGAAATAAACTTATCCTACATTAAATTAAAAATTATTTTTTCTTATAATTAAATCTAAAAAATATATATATAAACAAGATTTATGATAAACATACCATAACTATGCTTTGTTGATTAGGTTGTACGCCATGAAATGAGATATTATAACTTATTAATAAATTACCAACATTAGCCCACCATTTTGCTATGCATAATTCAAGTGTTCTTCTCTCCTAAAGAATAAAAGAAAAAATTGTTTGTGAAACTTTATAACAAACACACAAAATCTATATCATATAGCACTTGAATGATATTAAAAAAATGTACTGTACATATATATACAAGGTGTAACAAAACTCTGTCAATATTTTAAAGATAGATTCTAGGGTTAAAAATAAGCTTAAAATCCTCACGAAAGACAGCTCATATTTTGAATAGTTCTTATAAACAAGTATGTAATGGTTTTATTTTGTAAAATAAAAAGAAAAACAACACAATGTTATTCCAAGTAAATTTACATTGAGGAACTCTTGCTTTTCAACTTTTTTTTACTGTAAAGTGGATGGACACTGCAAAATCTTAATTAATTAATAAATGTAAACAAAGCTTTATCCATTTTATGGGATGGCCTGTTTGGGCAACATTGACTTGTCTCAATCTATTGACAGAAAGATAAAAAACAAAAATACAAAACTGTAGGTATCCCTCGTATAACATGGTAGTTAGGTTTCAAAAAAGTGCTGTGTTATGAAAATCTGTGTTATACAAAACAAAGGCCTACTAGTATCAAACATAGAGTTAGGTTCCAAAAGTTAAAAAAATATATATACTGTTCTGTTTCATAATTAAGAGAAATATGTTTGTTAAAGCTATCAATAATCAACTAACAATCACAATCAAAAGTATTGCACATTAAAATTAATTTTTTTCTTCACTGCTAGTTACAGTTAAACTAGGTTTGCTTTCATTTAATGGTAACTTTTTGGCAAAATATAGTTGTTTATGGAGCTTTCTTGTTGATCTTGATCAAAACAATGTGATTTTTCTACTTTTTCATAAAATCTGATATTTTCATTTGCTTGCATTTACTTAAGAGATTTTATAAATTTAATCTTTGTATGTGCAATCGAATGATGGTGAAATTAAAAATTGTGACATTTTGTAATGGGGTGTCTGCAATTCTCAAACCATGTTAGAGCAAAATTGTATTGTAAGAACATCATGTTGTAAAGGGGATTTTCCCAATTCTCAAATCATATTAGAGAAAAAAAAATGTGTTGTAGGAATGCTGTGTTGTACAAGGGATTCGTGTACTTTAAAAAGTTGACAATTCTTGTTAGTACTTTGGCTGAAAATTTGAAAAATATCTTTTTTTGGAAGGCCAGATCTGGAAAATGAAACAAAACTTAACATTTAGAGGATTTTTAAGCTTATTTTTGTGAGGGTCAAAAGGGGTGAAGAATTTTGTGAATAAAATGGTCAGTTAAAGAGGAAACTGGAAACTTTGGATAGAGTGATATTTCGAACTTCACCAAGATTTTATCTACAAAAACGGATGAAACAGCAGAATTTTGAAAGGAAGCTGATTTCCTTTCCCAGGCGAACTGGTGAAGAGCTGATAAGGTTGCACACAGGATGTAAGAGAGAATAAAAAGGGCCGTTTTCACGCCATTCGGAGAGCAGTCCAATTCGAGCAGTAGACGGATTGAGAAGTGTCCTACCATATGCTCCATACAAGATCTTCGAAGCAGTCCATAAAGTAGGAAACTGCTATACTAGGGAGAATACTTAAGAAGTCATACATACGACTCCAACATACGACGGGGATATACTGAAGTATAACATACGAGAAGATAATCAGAAGGAAAGATAACTGAATAACCCCCAATAGAAAATACAAGAAGAGGTATACATAAGGAAGGAAGGAAGGCGATCTTCGGCAGATACAGAAGCTACAGAAGGTAATACAAGCTCTGAATAGATCGATGTAAACTCTCTCACGCGCTAGGTTAGAAATAAGATAGTTTAAGTTAGAGTTAGATATAGGTTAGATCCATCTTTGTATATTCTTTATTATTCAATTTATTAAATATTTACTTGTTTACATAATGACTTGGTTTTTGTTGAACATCCATTTATATTTAAGTTCCCATGTTTCTTCGATCTCCGAGATTTGGGGATAACGCGTGTTAATCCGCGTGTAAAACAACTGATTAACTGGTGTCTAGGAATCCTGACATAGATCTGGACTTCGTGGTCTAGAACGGTTTCGCGTATATACCGCCCTCTCATAAAAGTTAAGAGAGCCGATCTCACGATCGAGCGCCCATAAGTGGCGTAACTTTGTTTACGTCCTGGCTGATCTCACATTTTTGACCCTAGAATTTATCCTAAAATATTGGCATGGAGTTTCATTACATCCTATACATGCAAAAAACATAATTTTAATAAGGTATTTTCTTAAAAAAATTTTAGAATTATATAATCATTTCAAAAAATTTTCATATTTATAATGTGATGCAAAAATAGATTTTTATAATAAATTTTCAAAAACTAATATCAAAAAGTGTCAATGCAAATTTTTAATCCAAAAGTCAAATGAAATCTAAAATATTCCAAACGAAAATTTATATATCTATTATCCTAACAACATTGTATTTACTGAAATCAATTTCCAGATATTTATTTCCAGAGTTACATTTTAGTCATATGATGATGTGTTTCATTTTTAATTAATTATTTATTAATTTTGATTGAAAAAAGAAGTTTAAATAATAACTTATGTATCATTTTGCAAATCTGTTAAATAAATAATTTTATATACATTATAGAAATGAAATAAATTTACCAAAATAATTTTTTACTCAATAACTGATTCAAAAAGGTAATATCAGATTATTATTTAGACATTTAAAAACAGATATCCAATTTAAATATTTAATATCAGAAATTGAAATAAAAATAAAACAGGAAATATTTGCCAATAAAATATTGTATATTTTGTCAAAAAATAATGAAATTTTCATATTTACTGATCTTGTGAAGAAGTATATTGAGATAAATATTAAACTTAATAAAAATACATACTGGTTGGTAGTTACCAACCAACTAGCATGAAATAGATTTAATTAAATGAAAAGCAAACGTTTTCCTCCATTGTTATCCAGTTTGAAGAACCTTGTTAAATGCAACATTGGGCATGTGCATATTTCACAATGTTCAAAACTTTAAAATTTTTGTTCTTTTTAAAAACATGTATTCTATTAGTTCTATATGGTGTAAACCTGAGGATGATCATTAAAACTGGAGGAAAAAGTTGATTTTGTTTAATTAAATCTATTTCATGCTGGTTTGTTGATAGTTATGTATTTTTATTGTTTTATATCAGTAGTTTTGTGGAGATTGTGTTAAACTTAATTAGGTTTTGTTATATAGAACATATCATAACAAACATCATAATAAAATAGGTTGCAGTAAAAACAAAATGATGATGATTTCAGTTAGAAAATACTAAATATTAAATTAAAAAAAAATACTACTTGAAAAAATTTTTAAAGAAATATATCTATTGGGTTGTTCGGAAAACAATATTTTTATAATAAATAAATATTTTATTGAATTATATATCGACCATTTTGGTCAAATACCTGTTGTCATTGTTTCTGGTAGTAGCATGATTTTACATTCATAAAAGTTTTGATCGTTGCTTACAAAAAACTGATCCAAGTAATTTTTGACATTGTCATTTCACGTAAATGTCTTACAGTTAAAAAAAATTTGTATAGACTGGAACAAATAATACTCTGAGTGTGCTCAATCTGGTGAATATGGTCGATGTGATATAGCACATCCCATCTAAGTTATAACAGTTTCTGATGAGTTACCAAACTTGTGTGAAATTTGACATTATCACGGTAAAACACTACACCTGTTTTGTTGATCAATTCTGACCACCTTTTCTGTTTGATGATATTACTCAATTTGTTTACTTGATGGCAGTAAACTTTCAAATCAATTGTTAAATTGTCTGGTAAAACCTCCAAAAAAAAATTTTCTTAAAATCTCACCGAAGAGAGCATCTCTCTTTAAGAACATGTGGAATCCATATATCAAGCTTTGAAACGAAACCAATTTGTTTCAAGTACAGTCGACCCCCCTATAAGATAGAGATACGTTCCATTCTTTAGGAATCCGATTTCTTACGAATCCTTCCAATCACAACCCGACACGTATCAAGTTTACGGACTACGGCTGTTTGAAAGATTTTCTTCCATAAAATTAATCGATTCTAGACTAATCCGACTCAACATTTCCAAAACACGTATATATTTTTTGGAAATAATCCGTATAAACTTCGCTATAAATAAAAAATTGTAGGATTACTTACCGAGTGTCACCA